CCCCAAAACCCCAAAACCCCAAAACCCCAGAGGAGAGGTTAATTTAAGATATTCTAAAATAAATAATTAATATTCCACTCAAATAATTTCAATTTGATCAGGGTTGCCTTTATTTTTCTTATTCTTCTTAACCTTAACTTTTTACTTCTTCTTCTTCTTCTTCTTTTTCTTTTTGGGCATTAATGTATCGTATAGCTACTCAGCTTCTTGCTGCATTTTTAAATCCTGTTAGTGCTCTATCTTTCCAAATATTTTAGTTCTAGATGCAGTATTTATGCTTTACGCCTTTTTTAATCTAGTAAAATTTTAGGCATTTTCCTCATAGTCTACTTCACTTAATAAATTAATACTTGCTCTTTAAGAGTACTATTCAATCAAAATTTCTGAGAGTTTAGGTTAAGGCTAATTTTTTTACGAAGCTATTATAGACTTTATCTTAAGATTAGAGTGGTTTATTTAGTTTGATACCTTTTCATTTGATTACTTTTTCCCTCTAACTTCATATAAATTTGTAATTTCATTTACCTCTGCTGAATCCTTTTTAACTTGAGAGGAAATGAGTTCAGGCTATTAATTAGTCATTTAATTATTTACTGAGTAAAAGTTAAGCTGGTTATTAGATAACATTCTTTTATTTATCATTTTAAGTTTTTTGTTTTACGGTTTTTTCCCTTTATTTTCTTGTTGATACTCTTCTAAATAATTCTAATTTTTTTAAAGTGAAAATTTGCTAAGATTTCTTCTTTTAATTTAAGGAATTTACATTAGAATATTTGACCTTTAAATTTCAGATTCGTTAGTATTACTCATTGATGCCATTATTTAAAATTTGATTATACTTGTTGAAGGTTTATTCAAATTAATTTTCTAGCCTTTTAAATTTTCAAATGATGTTAAAATTGGATTTTTTTAATGGCTACTATCTGTAGCATTAATTTAAGGATTCTACTGATCTTCAAGTGACTAAACGATAATTTATCCAAACATTCTGCTATTTGAATTCTCCATATATGTTAGCTATCTTTCCTTTTCCTTTTAAATAAAGCAATATCATTCACTATTATTATTAGCCCAATGAGCTTCGTATAATTTTGATGGTAAACTTGATTTTTTAAGTATAATTTTACCTCTTTATTAAATATTTTCATCTTAATTTTTTTCATTGTTAATACTATGCTACTAATTTATCACCTAATTGAAAAAAGGAATACTTTTTGTTAAATTGTCTCCACTAATCAATAGCTGATACTTTCTTGATTTTCTCTGTTTATTTTTCTATTCTCTACATCTCTTAATCAATGATATGACATTTTCATAGAGATCTTTTAAAATTGCCGCAAATATTATTGTAAAATTGATGCAAACATTTGAAATATAAAGGCCAATAAAAATTTTTCCAAATAAATACTTAATATCTGGATTTTCAACAAAATCTGTGAATATAAGCATCAAATAACTAATTAATAGAGTAGTAGCTTCATTAAAAATTTCAAGGCCAAGCGAATCTTTTAGAGGTCTAGAATATATCAAGAATATCAATTGGCAAATGCTGAAAAAAATGAAATGCAAAATTTGTATTGCAATCTTGTCTGCACTTGAAAAAACAAAGATAACAAAAATAATTCTTCTGCAAATAAAAATGGAATGATACAAGCAAGAGAAAAACTATTTTTTGTTTAAGATACTATATATTTCGCTCATCTGTTTTGATAATTACTGATACTTAATCTTATTCTTTTTTATCCTCCAAATACAAAATGGTAAAATTATAGGTAATATAATGGTCAAAAGCAAAAACACTAGCCCAAACAAATATGATAAAATCTCTCCGAAATTTTGACTTGATAAGAATTTAATATTTAAAACACTAGCAATAGTAGATTCTAGACAAAGCTCTACAAAGAACGAAATAAGGGTGTTGTAAAATAGAAACCTATGAATTTTGATAGCAAGGTTTCATGAGCTATATTAAAACTTTAAACTAACATAATTTCTTACCATTTTAAATTAATCTATTGAAGTATAAGAAGAATTAATCCTAATGCAATATAGAACAATAAAAACATAATAGGAGATCCAATTAAATAAATAAAGTTTGTGTTGTCATAGCCTAAGAAAGCAAACCTGTCATTGTATGATTCATAGCCATCTGATGATTTAAGCTGAAAAACATTCTAAAGTAAATAAGAAGAGTTATACAAATCGAGGTTTATTATATCAAAGAGTGCTTAAAGAAAAATCCAAATATTGATCGTATACTAGATTGTAAAAAGAGGAGTATGAGTGATCAGCTATAAGGTATTTATCAAGCTCCATAAGAACTATAAACTGCTGCCTGTAAGAGCACCCACTAATAAACTTCCAATAATTATCGCTAAAAGTAGTTATGAGATAATTGCACTTGCATCCTAAATAGATTCTATATCATCATTCTATGAGCTTAGTTAGGGAGGAATTTATTTTTCTGATAAGCATTCCTGAGATATTGGAAGATTTGTATCCTTAGCTATAATTAATGATTAGTCCTTGATTTTGACTTTCAAAATATTAGACTCTTATGAATAAATTAGATACCTAGTATCATTAAAATAAAGTTATATTCTTAATAGACTTTCTTTTATTTCCAAAAGGTCCCAATCCTTGATTGCAAAATGAGAATTATCTAGAGCTATATCTGATGCACTAATTTCTAAGGCTTACTAGATTTGCTTTATCAATTGATCACTAACTATAATACTCTTAGAAAATTAAAGAGATAGCTCCTAGTGAATTGATATTGATTGAATTTTAATGCTCAAATCAAGATCAGTTTAATTGCCATTAGTGGAATTATTTTTAATTAAAATTATTTGTGGTTCAATACCTCTTATATTTGGTTTCTTAGAAATTTTTAGGTTAATCATGTATTACTCTGATTAAGAAATGTTTGAATTATCCAAGTACTAGATTTTGATTATCAAATAATACAAACCTTAATCTGTTAATTAAGGATTTATTTGGATATGAGTTTCATTAAATGATACCATCTCAAGAGTTTCATTTAGGAATAGCTCAGAAACTGAGAAAGAATGAATTAAATTTAGTATATTGTTTATTTTTGGGAATTGATAAGTTAAGTTGCTTCCAACTGAAATTGAAAAGTTGTCTTGTAGTGGAGTTTCAAAGAATAGTAATGGAATTCCAATAAATGAGTCTGATGTTTAATTATTATTTAATGCTTCGGTTGTATTTGTTAAATTGGCTCCAGAGCTGGTATTATTTGTAGTAGTCTAGTTTGTTTAATTTTAATTAGTATTCTCTAACCCTGTTTAATTACTGGTGCTGTTTTAGCCCTAATTTTAAGTATTATTTTATTAAGTTTAATTATTGGTTGATGTCTGATTAGTGACGTTTGTTTGGTTATTTGCTTAACTATTGGTAGAATTAGCAGTGTAATTTTGATCTGATAAATTTCCTGTGCTATTTTAATTTATTGGTATAATTAATGGTTTAACGATTACTTTAAAATCAAAAGAAGATTGATAGATACTGCTAAGAATAGCATTAATCTTTATTTCATAGATTCCTTATGACTGATTATCCTAAGTATAAATCTTTATTGAACTCCCAAAACCATAAGAATTTTATATAAAACCTATGAAGTTTGGAAGTGGTAAATTGTTGCTCATTATTGCCTCATATATCCATTTTTAGTCTTTGCATATCTTTGAGTAACTAAAATCACCAAAATTTAAAACTAATTCAGTATCATTAACTGTGTAGATATATTCTGACAAAACAGTAGGTGTTGATATTGCTCCAAATGGCTCTAATTATAGACAGCTTTGTGGCAATTGTTAAAGATTAATACTTTTTAAATCCTGTGAAATTAGTCCAATTAGTTCTTAGTAGATTACTGAGTCATCAGATGGAGAAATAGTTTGAATGGTGGGATTGTATATTTTAGGTACTCCAATACCAGCCTGAAATGTAAAAGAAGTTTACAAATCAACATTAACAGAGGTATTAATTACATCCTGATCTATACAATCTTGATCTGTCGGATATCTATGAATAAAACTCTGCTTTTTTGAATAGTTATTACTATTTATCTAGCTTATTTGTCCTCCAAAGAAATAAAGTGATCCGCTTATATATCCTATCTTTGGGTACAATGACTAAGTTAAAGTTGTTGAAAGTCTAATCTCATTAAAATTTATTACTGTAATACTATCAAGTAAGGTAATTTTTCCTTGTAAAACAACTGAATTTTCTTTGTAAAGTAAGATATACGAATATTGAGAATCAATTTCAACATCTAAGCATTTACTCTGTACATCCATATCAAGGAGCCATGATTTAATAAGATTTGTTGTTACAGAAGTTTCTAATATTTAGAGGAATCCTATATCGAATCCATCAACTCCTAGATAATCAGCACAACCAAATATTGTTATGCTATTCAGAATTGTGCTCACATATTTTGCCAATTAACTTATTTTTTAACTTTAATGCCCATTACTATTTTAAATTAAATATGAATAATTTGGGCTTCCATTTATGAGGCTGTACTTTGTAAATCCTAGATTACCGTTATAGTTTCCTGCAAAATAAGCGTAATCATCAGTAATAAGCTTCGCGGCTGAGGATCCAAATAGAGGTAGCACTACTGCCCCATAAGATTTATAATAAATCAAAGAATTGAGTGTTAGATCATTGTTTAAAATTATTCCTGATACTTTAATTCTATTACTCTCTGTCGAAACTACGTATATTTTGTTGTCGCTTGTCATCCAAACTCCTATTGCCTATCTTGCAGTCATCATTTAACTTAGAGTTAAGGAATACTCGTAGTAAGATTTTTTTAGAACACCATTTGTTGTATCAAAAATTAAAAGGGAAAAAGTAGGGTTTTAAGCAAGTGCTACTATATATTAAGATGCAACTCCATTTTAATAAGTACATTATTGCAATTGTTTAGGTAAAAATTATGGAGATTAATTTTAGTCTTGCAATATTTACTTTACCCAAATAGTCATGCCAGTTGCTTAATCCAATTATGCAATGATGCTAACTTAAACTGAATTAATAATATCATTCGAGTATGATGTACCCCCTATTAATAATATATCCTGAGTTATACTATAATCTATACAGTTAAAGCTTGAATCTCCATTTAATCCTCCTAAAATTTATGGATAGGAATATATTGGCTGAGGTGAGAAACATATCTTATCCTAAGTTTCCAAAAGATGTCAATATTCTGAACTCTATATCCCCTCAACATTAAATGGATATCCAGTAAAAATAAAGTGAAGAATCAGCAGTAGTATTAGTCTTCTGTGATCAAATAACACTTGTTATATCATTATAATAAAACAATTAACTAGAGATTATAAAGAATAAATTTTCACTTAACCTAACTCTGACTTTAAAATAAATATTTTTTATTGTGTGTATAGATGATTATTATTTGCTATAACGTATTATCTATTAATAAATCCTTATTTTTTCTAGATTTTATCTTTTTTAAGTCAATGGGGTTTTGGGGTTTTGGGGTTTTGGGG